ACAGTATTGGGCAGCGCCACTCATCCTGTGAGTGGACACGCCATAGTGACAGTATTGGGCAGCGCCACTCATCCTGTGAGTGGTCAGTGACCACCATCCTGTGATAGTCAACACTCCCCAATAGGAAGAAAACCCGCTGGGTTGTTCATCCTGTCACTTGTACCCAGACACAGCTGGGACTTGCTTAACTGTCTCAAATGAACAGCTTATCAAACAAGAAGATTAACGTTTGTCAACCCTTAAAATCTTACTTTATCTTGCGGGAGCAAATTGGGGGGAAATCTTGTAAGATTAGTATCAATATTTGACGAATAGTATTTTCCTAACTCAAACAGTATTAGTGGCCGGCGTCCAATATATAAAAAAAAAATACAAATGGTAATGTGTTTGTTATTCCACACATTTCTAACGTCTCTTAGATGTTCACATTCTCTCAGGTAGTGGTCAAGGCGGTGTCCATCACTTACCACAGATTCTTCAGCTTCGCTGCTCAGATGTTTCCATTCCGAATCTTCATGGATATTTATATCCAAGAGGGATTCTTGCTATTACTGATTCTCTCCCGCGGCCACCTCCTCTTCATGCATAAACATTGGGATTGCCAGCTGCAACCATGTTGTACCATCGTACAGATTCACTGGTTTGTTCTATCCTCCTTTCCTCAGTTACCTTGTCACGGTGATGTTGCCTGATAATCCCTCTAATTTGTAGCAGAGTCTTGGGTATGAAGCATACAATATGGTCTCCTTCAGCGCCTTCAGCAGCCAGCTCTGGGGTCGTAGTTCTAAGGGCACCAGTGGGGTGGTGTACAGAACCATCAGTGTATATATGGTTTATCGTCGCATCCAGGAGAGCAGTGTATACTGAAGATGGGAGTAAACTTGTGCTTAGTTTACAACCTCCTGCTGTTGAGATGGCGAGAGATGCGCCTTAGGCTGTAGAGCATAGCCAATACCTCACGGCATGATGGTAGTCACAATACCCACTAGAAAACCCCTCAGTTCCCAAGGGACATTCCAACCGCTGTGTGGTTCCAGGAACTATCGTAAGACGGGTGAGAGCGTGTAGACCCCGTGTTAATGTTTCCACGCCACGCCGAGTATTCCAGCCATCTCTGGAATGTGTCCCCGCGTGTAACAGGTACGTCATTTGTGGTAGACTGAGCGCCTCTCTGCCTGCCTCCTATGGCACTTTGCAATACTTTCTTTCTGTGATTGACACTCCGGGATATCTCTATGGAACTCCGCGATGCATCTATGCCACTCTGCGATGGCCCACGCCTGAATTCAGCCCTCTCAAGAACAATGGATTTGGAATGATCAATATTATTAATATCCCAATGTAATGATCGAGACGATGTTAGTGACTGAGGGAGGGAATTATCAAGGGAAAGCGCCAAGTCATTACGACCATATGGCACTTGGAAAAGGACCAGGATAAGGATTTGGGATGGGACAGGGAGGGGGGGGGGGGGTGGGGTGGAACAGGAATAGCCTCCCAGTAAATACCTTCCGTTCCCCCTTCATGCCACATGTTCCCCCCCCCTACCTGTCTCCCCTACTGCAGGTATTGACCAGGTGTTGAGGGCAATTAGTGTACAGGATCATGGCTGGTCACGTGGTTCATGGGTGAGGCGGAGACGGAGGGGGAGGGTGGGCGGGGGAGGGGAATTAGAGTTATAGGGAATAGAGTAAGGTAGTGAGCAGCGGGATAAGGGGCGGAAGGAGAAGGCAAGGGAGGGAAGGGAAGGGAAGGTAGGTGAAGAGACTAGGGTAGGATTGGGCAGATATTGAAGGGGAGCAGGGTGCATGTATTAGTATTTTAAAAAAGGGGTAATATTGAGGTGCTATAAGAAGGGAGAGATGAGCCTGATAAATATAGAGGGGAGATTAACATATAAAGAGAGGGAGAGGTGAGACTGATAAATAAAGAGAGGGAGATTAACATATAAAGAGGGGGAAAGAGGGAGAGAGAGACAAAGAGGGAAGAGGTGCACATTAACCGCCCTGCACAACCCCAACCCTCCTCCACTGCTCCTGTAGTGTCCCGTCAGCACTCTACACTCCCACACTACAGTAGTACTCACCTCTCTATCCTTATGGTCTTCAAGACGTTGTTTTAGATTTAGCTACTCAGAACGAAATGTCCATGTAGCACGGGCTATGGTGAGCCCGCAAGGTCTTCAAGACGTTTCCCGTGGCTTAGGGGTCTCCAGGGTGTGAGGAAGGCGTGAGGTGGGAGAAGATGAGCCTGAGGGGGGTTCTCCTGGGCGTGGGGTGGGCGTGAGGGGGGTCTCCTGGGCGTGGGGTGGGCGTGAGGGGGGGGTCTCCTGGGCGTGGGGTGGGCGTGAGGGGGGTCTCCTGGGCGTGGGGTGGGCGTGAGGACGGGTCTCCTGGGCGTGGGGAGGTGGGCGGGACGGGCAGCAGAGACTGGAGCAGTAGTGCGTGCAGGGCCGCCATCACCGGCCTGATTACGCTTGCCCCACAATTCTAGGTCACGGGTCCGTCACGGAATCAACATTAACTTGCAGGAAAAGCTTGAAGGCGGGGGGCGCCGCGCCTCTGTGGTGGGAGCTGGCAGCGTCCAGGATAACCCGCCCCGAGACGCCTCCATTACCAGACTTACCTATAATCCCCCGGATGATAGCCACAATTACCCCCATACGCGTTTGATATCAAGCAAAACTAATTTACATCGTGACACGATTTCTGAGATAATGGACCATCAGATTGTGTACAAAATTCATGTTATCTGATTTTCCGGGAGATTTATATATTTAAATTAAGCTGTTACGCCTGTAAAAAGTTAAACGCCAATCAGGTCTACAAGTTTCCTTATCGGTGTCTTGTAGAGCTTATATTTCTTAGTGGCAGAGCATACAAACATAGGAATAGGAATAATCATTAATATTATATACAATTACATGCCTTGAATTCATTATTGAGCCTTTTTAGTTCAAGTTAGTTCAAGTAAGTGTAGTTTACTTGAGTACCCCCGGCAGCTCTCTCTCTCTCTGATTGGTTCTGTGAAGGACAAATGGTCTTTCACAGGAGGTTTCGTCCCCAGTACCTCAACTCATTCACTGTACCGGATGAAACTCCTCCCTCGAGTTCCAGCTCTCTCGAGGGGAGGGGGAGGGGGACATCGGAATGGAACCAGCCACTAGATGGTTCAATTAGACTGTTACTTACCACAAACTATACACCGTCAAAATCTATATACACCATCACATACAAGAACCAGGCTAGTTCACCAGTCAAGCCTGGCCTCGGGCCGGGCTTGGGGAGTAGAAGAAGAACTCCCAGAACCCCATCAACCAGATACTTACTCTACACCACCACAAACTATACACCAGCACAGTATATACTCTAGCACGGACAGCCTTACCCTTCCCCTATTGCCACATGTATCCCATCCTTGCCCCCCCCCCCCACTCACCCGCTGTCCATGTGACCAACGGGCAGAACACACTGAAAGAAGAAGCTGTAAAAGCCACCTCCTTCCACATCTTTAGCGCCAGATTCGACAAAAATTGCGGACGCCAAGATGCGTAAAATCTTCAGAAGCAACAGGTATACCGGAATGGCAAGAATAGGCGGGGTACAGAGAGCCACAACTCACCCGTAATCACTCATAGGTATAAGGACTTTGACCTCGAGACGTCTCTAATTCCTCCTGCTCTATCGACCACATATATAAAGTCCTCATGCCGTCATCATCATGTTGGGCGGACTGCTATAGAGGTCACTAACACATGACCTCGATGATCTTTTAGATTTAGCTACTCAGAACGAAGTGTCCATGTAGCACGGGCTATGGTGAGCCCGTGACACACACATGACCTCGATGAGTTGATAATTTATGTAGAACACTGGAGGGGTGAAAAAAAGGGGGGCGGGGGGAGTAGTCATATTACGTCACTCATTATGTAGGTCATGTTGTGGTGTAGCTCATTTGTTGTCGGTCATGTTGTGTGGGTCATGTTGTGTGAGCATTATCCTGGAAGTATGAGGGATGTGGAGGATATTATCCAGGAAGTGTAAGGAATAAAGGGAGCATTATTATAAAAAAGTAAGTGATGAGGGCTCTCAATATCCATAAAGTGTGTAAGATGAGGTACAAATTATCCCTGTAGTAGTGTAATGGAGGCCTGGTCGACGACCGGACCGCGGGGACGCTAAGCCCCGAAAACACCTCAAGGTAAGGTAGTGTAAGGGGGTGGTGGGGGTTGGGGGGGTTACTCATTATCCTGGACGAGCGAGCAGTAACAGGACCATTATCCAGGAAGCACGAGTCATGAAGGGATAATTACCCCTCCTACAGTGTCGTTCCGTCGCCTCTCTGTTCCATACATTCAACTCGGGGCTTCGGAAAGTTCATTTCGTAATCGTAATTCGACGCAGGAGTCTGGTCTCACAGACTCCAGGGGTTCGTCAGCGGGGAAGAGACTAAGGCATCACGTGCGCCGCCCGGATGCTCTGGAAACACACTATAATATACCCGTAGAGGCCTACGTCATTTACGTGCGCACGCCAGCCATACCTGACACAAATGTCGCCTTCCGCACGCTGCACGCGAGCGACAGAGTAGAACAATGAGTGTTATTGTGTGGATGTTCTGTGACGTCTGCATAATTGTGACAGCGATCCCTCCGGCTGATTATAGAACCTGTTGTTGTGGTTTAATTGTTTTTGTAGGTCATATTTTGGGAGGTAGGGTAGAGTGCTCTTGGTGGAGTCCCTGGTAGAGCTCCTGGTAGAGCTCCTGGTAGAGCTCCTGGTAGAGTCTCTGGCAGCGTCCCTGGTAGAGGACCAATAGGTTGTGAGCCGACTGCACTAACTACTACATTACAGGTCACCTTTGTTGACATTTATATTTAGGTATTTCACTTGCTTCAGTCGACTTATGCAAAAGGTTTCAATGTTCTTTTATAACTTAACTCACAGCCAATAATGCTGTTTTATTATTGAATAAGATAGTAATACCCTTATCTCCCACAGGCAATAGAAGCAGAAGCAGGGGACGCAGCAGTAGAAGCAGCTGGCGGTCACTTCAACCAATCAGTCTTATCGCGTTCCAGACGCCAAGCGACGGAAGACAATCCAGGTAGTGGACCCCAGCGGTGACTCCGCCAGACTGAGCCTTCCTGGAGGCTCATGTTTTAGTTGATGTGTGTGTCGACTGTGTGTCGACTGTGTCGAGACCTCTTGAAGGGATGTGTGTCGACTGTGGGTCGAGACCTCTTGAAGGGATGTGTGTCGACTGTGTGGTCGAGACCTCTTGAGGGGATGTGTGTCGACTGTGTGGTCGAGACCTCTTGAGGGGATGTGTGTCGACTGTGTGGTCGAGACCTCTTGAGGGGATGTGTGTCGACTGTGTGTGTCGACTGTGTGTGTCGAGACCTCTTGAGAGGATGTGTGTCGACTGTGAATGGTCGGTACTGTTACATGACGATTGACCTGGCCACTTTTTTTACTGAGATGCAGAAAATCCGAACAACGTCGTTCATTGCATAAGGGATGAAATATGCAGCAAAAGCTAGGGGCTGTGATTGAATAATTCAGCTTAGAAAATGAATAAAATAGATGGGAAATTAAGGATCAATGAATAACACTAATTTGAAAGTCAAGACTTTAGCCTTAAAGTAATATATGAGAGGGAACAAATATTGAGTCATAAAACGTTGTCGTTTCGTTATAAGTCATCAAAGACTTTATTTTTCTCATAATTAAAATGGAGCAAGTCTACAGTACAGGAATGTATTACATGACATTAGAGATTGTGTGTATAAGGCAATACAGTACAGGAATGTATTACATGACGTGTGTGTGTGTGTGAGGCAAAGATAAAAACTTTGCCTCCTTGTAGAGGAGATGTGGTGTCTGAGGGTGTAAAGACGTGCCCCCCTCGCCTGCTCGCGTCCTAAGTGAGATTAACGACTCCTGGATCGAACTTCATGACAGGGGTCTGACCACTGTGTACGCTTGTCGGTGCATATACACTCAAAGTTTGCTTTTGTTGTCCTGGACTAAGTTATAGGACACAAGTTTACTTGTTGGTTGGTTAGTCAGTTACTGTGGTGGTCTTAATAACCATCTCAAGTGATTGGCTTCAACCACAACACCAAACTACAACGACTGGCTGATTTGTGCCAATTAATAATTAATCTTGTCGGGGACAATGAGCCTGTTTATATATGTATGCGTTAGGCTTATATCGAGGTCCCCCCCCCCTACCAGGATGCAACCCCACAACATTTGACTGTTTTGCGAGTACCTATTTACTGCTAGGTGAACAGAGACATTAGATGGTAGGAAACGTGTCTAGCCAACTCACTCGAGTACTGAACACCTGGAGTTGTGAACACCACTAACTTGTAGCTACAGGCAGGCCGCCACAATCTTAACCACAGTGCTAACAGTCAGAGTGTGGCAAGTCCGAATTGTTGATGGAAATCCATGTTAAATATAAGTCCCCAGGAGCGTGTCTGGACCTTGCCACTGATGCGTGCCCCTGGGGGCCTGATTCACGAAGCAGTTACGTAAGCACTTACGAACCTGTACATCTTTTCTCAATCTTTGGCTGTTTTGTTTACAATTATTAAACAGTTAACGAGCTCCGAAGCACCAGGAGACTGTTTATAACATAACAACAGTTGATTGGGAAGTTTTCATCCTTGTAAACTGTTTAATAAATGTAACCAAAGGCGTCAAAGATTGAGGAAAGACGTGCAGGTTCGTAAGTACTTGCTTAACTGCTTCGTGAATCTGGCCCCTCAGGCTAGCGTACCCCAGCAGCTGACCGTCGAGGAAGACACCTGGAGCAGAAGATGCATCGCATAAAACTTCTCTACTGCACAATCACTATTAAGAGCACAAATGCAGAGATATCTGATATGTAGTAACTATATATTAATACATTTATTTACATTTGTTAATTTCATGTAAAACACTTTTCAGTTTAGAGGCGTGTACGTGTCTGTAACGTCCACCTAATCCCCCCCCCCAAACCCCACCACCCCCGACATCAAGTCCCAACGTGACTACAACCCCCCCACCCCCCCTAACACCCGGTCTCAATGTACGTGAATGTAAACCTCTCTCCCTCCCCCCCCCCATCACAAGGTGACACTAAAACTATCTCCAACCCCTTCCCCCTTCCCCACCACAACGTAACAGTAACACACCTCTCCTGACCGAGCCACAACGTGACAGTTACCCCCCTCCTGTAGTAACCCTCTTCCCCCCTCCCCTACCACACCCATACTGGGTGACAGAGGCTGAACTAGTCTGCCCCCCCCCCTCCTAGCGGGAGGGGGGTATATGCAGACGGCAGACTCCTATACATCCTCTAGTGGTGGTGAATGGCTTGTCTAGATCATTTTCAAATACCACAACACTCTGCATGATTTAAAATTATGATTATTTTCTTTCCTTTTAGTGCAGTTATAAAAAATCCTAATTCATCCTAAATCCTATGTTTCTTTTAAGCTTCTGTCATGGATGCAGATCTTGTAGGAGCTCGCTAGATATAAATCAATGCGCACAAGAGTTTGGCCTTTCTAGAGATACGAGAGTTGGGCAGACGACTACAGTCTCCATGGTGTTATAGACTTAAGTTTCTTTTGTTTAGCATGAGCTCTTGTTTGTCAACATCTCTTAATGCTGCACGTCTGTGTAATCTTGATCATACGAAACTTGGCGATATTTCTTCCGTCTGACCGCCCCGGGTGCCTCCCGTCCTGTCACTCAGGAGATGCCCAAGATGACACCGCCCCTGAGGATGTCCAGCCACAGCCTCCGCCGGACCCAGAGGAGCCAGAGACTGAACTTCCTTCTGAGCCTCAACCTCCACCAGAACCCCAAACACCTCCAGGACCCCAAACTCCCCCAGAACCTCAAACTCCTCCCGCGCCCCAAGCTCCTCCAGAACCCCAAGCTCCTCCAGAGCCCCAAATTCCAGCAGAATCCCAAACTCCTCCAGAATCTCAAACTGCTCCAGAACCCCAGACCCCTCCGCGACCCCAGCAGACTCCTCCACGGCCTCAGCAGACCCCTCCACGGCCTCAGCAGACCCCTCCACAGCCCCAGCAGACCCCTCCACGACCTGGAGCACAGCCTCAGGGCCGTCCACCCAAGCAGCCACAAGCACAACCACCACCGCGGCGCCAGCGTCCAGCACAACAAGTGAACGCCAGTTCCGAGCAGCCGGGTGCTTCAGGTACTGAACGCCGATGACAGAAGAAGCGCAAAAAAGTCGAGTTTTCGTGCAAACTACGAAGTTTCGTTTGAGCGAGAAGCTGCAGGCACATTGGTAGAAGCTCCGTTTCACAGCGGCGCTCCTCCAATGGAAACGCAGCTTTCAGAAACAAAACTTGGAAGCTTGACGACAAAAACTCGTCTTTAAGATCTGTTCACACATGCAATCGCCTCGAGTACTTGTGCTCCACCGCCCCCCGTCTTCACGGCACCAGGAGAAGAGTTTCTCAACATACACGATTTTTCAACTGGCTGACCCTGAGTGCCTCACCACCCGCTTATTTATTTGGATACTTTCTGGTCTCTGCTTGGGTGGGGAATCTGTGCTTGACACCCTGGCTTAATCTCAGCAACACATTCTTATAAATGGCTCCTCGTGGCTCTTCTGCGCTAATTCACATAGACTTTTTACTGTTTTATATTCACTTTTTAAACTTTCTTTTCATGATAAGTCCTACAATTAAAACTAAATATTGTCATCGCCATCAGTAGTAACAGCTAGTTTGATCACAGTTATGCGGGCCACAACAGGCTGGTTATACACACACACATGCACGTACAGGTAGTTATGAACACTCACTCATAACCCCCCCATAGGTCCCAGTGTGCAGTGTGCAGCAAGGCTTTACACCCACATGCACTGAGGTCTGCACCCAGGGTAAGATCACCCACTGGCTGTCATGCTGAGTCCAGGCACTGGCTGTCATGCTGAGTCCAGGCACTGGCTGTCATGCTGAGTCCAGGCACTGGCTGTCATGCTGAGTCCAGGCACTGGCTGTCATGCTGAGTCCAGGCATTGGCTGTCATGCTGAGTCCAGGCACTGGCTGTCATGCTGAGTCCAGGCACTGGCTGTCATGCTGAGTCCAGGCACTGGCTGTCATGCTGAGTCCAGGCACTGGCTGTCATGCTGAGTCCAGGCACTGGCTGTCATGCTGAGTCCAGGCACTGGCTGTCATGCTGAGTCCAGGCACTGGCTGTCATGCTGAGTCCAGGCACTGACTGTCATGCTGAGTCCAGGCACTGACTGTCATGCTGAGTCCAGGCACTGGCTGTTATGCTGAGTCCAGGCACTGACTGTCATGCTGAGTCCAGGCACTGGCTGTCATGCTGAGTCCAGGCACTGACTGTCATGCTGAGTCCAGGCACTGGCTGTCATGCTGAGTTCAGGCACTGGCTGTCATGCTGAGTCCAGGCACTGGCTGTCATGCTGAATCCAGGCACTGGCCGTCATGCTGAGCCCAGGCAGTGTCTCACGGGTTACTACTATGCACTGGCACTTTCACTGCAGCTAACTCACAGCTTAATATCACGTTTTATGACTTATGTTTATAATTTAATAATTCAGTTTGTTAAGACATGTCGATGCTGACAGCGTGAACGAAGGCTTATAGTTTCACTGTCATATAGTCCCAGTAACCTGAAGCTTTCTCGGAAGTACCATCTATTATTTATATATAAAAAAAGAGCACAGGTAAATTTGTGTTTTATAGAGCAGCAATGTCATGTACAGAGATGTGTTAAATAGCACATTTTAGCAATTAATATATATAACACTGATATGGGGATAATGTTAGAGCCATAGAGCCCTTATTATTTAAAAGAGCTCATAGAGTCAAAGAGCCATAGAGTCTGATCTACCGAGCTCCATGACTCGTTACTCATTGTGAGAAGGCACCAAGACTCAGTAATACTGAAGGTCAAGCCCGGAATGCTCATTACAGCACTAACAATGCTGTAATTAAGCATGCCAGTACCCATAAGAAGGCTGTATAGAAGGTGATATATTAATGTGTATATATATATATATGTATTAGAAATGTATAGTTCACAACATATACTCGAAGACCACTGGAGAGCTCTGATGATGATGATTTAATGCATTTTTGATGTTATGAAAGAAGTTTGAGGCCAGACGCTTTCGGCTAGTCTCACCCAAATGTGCAGGAGGGAATATAGTCTCTGCGGTACGGGATAGACATAGGCTGGTCGGCGTAGTTCTCAGATAAATGTTTTAAGAAATACCAACAATTATAAACACCCCCCAAGGCCATTTTTCATGTTGTCTTTCATGGCGTCGTGTGAAATATGGCCTGGGATTAACGCGGGGTCGTCATAACAATGTAATTGCTTACACAATGGCAGTTGTTTCAGTGGTTTTTAATGCTACATTTTCTGAGAGGTAGGTAAAGGGGGGGGGGAGCGGGGATAGATATATGGGTACGTGGATGAATAGATAGATGGACAGATACATAGAAGGATAGATGGCTGGATTGATAAATAGATGAATAGGAAGAAAGATGCATAGACTGAAACGCAGGCGAGGAGTCACAATAACGTGGCTGAAGTATATTGACCAAACCACACGCTAGAAGGTGAAGGGACGACGACATTTCGGTCCGTCCTGGACCATTCTCAAGTCGACTGTGATAATGTCGATCACAATCGACTTGAGAATGGTCCAGGACGGACCGAAACGTCGTCGTCCCTTCACCTTCTAGTGTGTGGTCTGGTCAACATGGACTGAAATGTAAATGGTTAAATAAGAGAGAGGCAGACCCGGCAAACGCCAGGTAACCCTCCTTGTGTATATATTTGATTCACTCTGGCCTTCGGAACCAACACTCCTTCATAAGGAAGAATTTCAGACACACACCTATCTGCTGGATGCCGACTGGGAAGGTATAAATAAACTTTATACCTTCCCTCGGGTGACTCTTTAGCATGAAGGTGTTAGGTGATTCCCGTCCTCAGTCACATAAACTGTTAATAACCATATGGTGGATAGTAACAGAACACTCGGGGCCTCGAACCCTACACCACAAACCGCTCTAGCTATAGAGCCATCAGCACCATCCTCCTATAATATATATATATATATATATATATATATATATATATATATATATATATATATATATATATATATATATATATATATATATATATATATATATATATATATATATATATATATGTCGTACCTAGTAGCCAGAACGCACTTCTCAGGCTACTATGCAAGGCCCGATTTGCCTAATAAGCCAAGTTTTCATGAAATAATTGTTTTTCGACTACCTAACCTACCTAACCTAACCTAACTTTTTCGGTTACCTAACCTAACCTATAAAGATAGGTTAGGTTATATATATATATATATATATATATATATATATATATATATATATATATATATATATATATATATATATATATATATATATATATATATATATATATTAACCCATCCTCAGACCAAGTGCATTCCATCCAGCGGTCGACCCCAAAGAAGCATTCATCACTTTTAACATGCTGTTCATTCAAAACATGACTTTTCACAAATATAAATTAATATTATTATATGCTAGCTTATTGTGCATATTTAGGCATTGGTTAGGTTAGGTGTTTAGGTTCTGTTGACCATTATTGGTATTTGTAGTACGTGGGTGGAGCATTTACAGCGTTGTGGTTCGAACAAAAGTCGTCAGTAGCACTTGTTTGTGAAGTGTTCGGACGTCATTTATTTATCTGTTGTGAGTCGTGTGTCAGCGCGTCCTCACAAAGGCCAAAGTCCATTCCATGCACCTGCCAAACCCCTTGTTTATGATTGAAAAATGATTTACACACGACTCACAACTGATTTCGTTCGAACACTTCCGGAACAAGTGCTTCACTGACGAATTTTGTTCGAACCACAACGCTGTAAATGCTTCACCCACGTACTACAAATACAAATAATCGCCAACAGAACCTAAACACCTAACCTAACCAATACCTAAATATGCACAATATGCTAGCATATAATAATATTAATTTATATTTGAGAAAATTTATGTTTTGAATGAACAGCATGTTAAAAGTGATGAATACTTCTTCGGGGTCGACCGCTGGATGGAATGGACTTAATCTGAGGACGGGTTGAGTGTACACCGTATCGTGTTCTGGGAAAACATTTCACTGAAAACGTAACCGGTTCCAGTATCTGACCTGGTTCCAGTGTCAGGCCAGACACCTGAATTACATCATAAAAACGGCGAAACTATACAACTTTGACTCACATTCATCACTTGTACAGCTTACCATTGTATTAGTGTCACTGACTCAACTACTGTATCAACGGTTCGAGACGCTTGAGCGCATCACCGCCTCCTGAAGGGGCGGCCACTGACGCCTCTCTCCCGCCAGACTTGTGCGACTTCGGCAGCAGTCCGACGGTGTCCCTGTGCAACTGGACCAACCTGAAGGTGACGCAGCTGCAGTGGCAACCCTCGCAAGGCCAGAACGCCTACTGGATAGGAGGCCCGAAGGAAGACGTTAGTTATGGCGACGACCAGGGTAAGTCTGCAGGGGGCGGGGGGAAGGGGACCAGGGTAAGTCTGCAGGGGGCGGGGGGAAGGGGACCAGGGTAAGTCTGCAGGGGGCGGGGGGAAGGGGACCAGGGTAAGTCTGCAGGGGGCGGGGGGAAGGGGACCAGGGAAAGTCTGCAGGGGGCGGGGGGAAGGGGGACCAGGGTAAGTCTGCAGGGGGCGGGGGGAAGGGGACCAGGGTAAGTCTGCAGGGGGAAGGGGACCAGGGTAAGTCTGCAGGGGGCGGGGGGAAGGGGACCAGGGTGAGTCTGCAGGGGGCGGGGGGAAGGGGACCAGGGTAAGTCTGCAGGGGGCGGGGGGAAGGGGACCAGGGTAAGTCTGCAGGGGGCGGGGGGAAGGGGACCAGGGTGAGTCTGCAGGGGGCGGGGGGAAGGGGACCAGGGTGAGTCTGCAGGGGGCGGGGGGAAGGGGACCAGGGTGAGTCTGCAGGGGGCGGGGGAGACTAGGGGCAAGGACACAGTGTGGTAAATTTGGGCCAACGACCTGGGAAAGGTGAGTACAAGACCTGGGCGGATAGTATCGAGGCATCTCCCGGCGGAACCCTGGGTATGGGGAAGCCAGGTTCCGGCCGCCAAGCCACACCACCAAACGGCATATGTCTGTGGATTAGGCTGACGCCAGTTAGGTTAAGGATAATTATACATCTGAGGGATTAAGGTCATATCTGTGTGGTTGGCGTGACTAAGATCACGCGAGACCCCTCCCTATAATTATGGTAATTTTTCATAGTATAATTATATTTACACAATATACATAAGAACAAAATAGTGTTCATTAGGTGTTACAGAAAATGTTCATTATATAAAGCCACCAATACGTAAACACTGGCAATTCTTAACTACACAGAAATATACATTCCATACAGCTCTGAGTCTCTGAGTATAGCTTGTGTGTTCGAATCAAGATGTATCGCTTCGTGATACAGGTATACATATATGCCATGTATAGCCTTGTAACAGGTATATATATGCCTTGTATAGCTTCGTGATGCAGGTATAAATATGTCTTACTAGTATACATGAACCTTGAATAGCTTCATTGCACAGGTATGCATAAAGCTTGTATAGCTATATTACACAGGTATACATAAACTTTGTATAGCTGCATTGCACAGGTATACACAGACCTTGCATAGCTTCATGATAAACATACACAAGCGGTGACTTTTGCTACTCCCGCAGGAGGGTATGCCGTGTTCGAGACGTCCCAGATCCCAGAGAGACAGATCGGGCAGCCCAACTTCGAGTCTGCGATGCTCATGTCTCCTCTGAGGAAGTCCACGGGACCCAAGGGCATGTGTATAAAGTTCTGGTGAGTTGTAAGTCCCCCCCCTCTAGTTATCTTCTCTCCAACCTACTCCATGGACAGGGTTACCCCCCACACCTGCAGGCATGCCCCCACACCTGCATGCATGCCCCCACACAGGCATGCCCCCAGCGTGCCCCCCACACATTTACCCACCACCCAGCTTGTTGAGTCACACTAAAATAGTGCTCTCAGAGAAGGTAATGAGCTTATAATACTGCCTCTCCAACGAAATCACCGAAGCAACAACTGTGCTACACTTTCCAATGGTCCTGGACAAATGCACCTGGACACTATCATCGGGTAACATATAGTTGAACCCTTTAGAAGACAATTGGCCACAGTGGCCGTCGGGTAAGCTTATGTATCTAACAGATTCCAACTTTTTCTTAAAAAAAGTGTCTCTCGGTATAGTGTGAGTGGTTGTTCGCACAGGTACTCGATGGCTGGCCTGAGTCCGGACCGTCTACGGGTCCTGCTGCACCCGGTGACCGGCAACATCACCTCCCGGGGCTCTGTGGTCGACATGATGCTCAACTACGACGGCAGTGACGACGAGGTGCTGTGGGAGGAGCGTGACATGACCATGGGAGACTGGAAGGAGGGCCAGATCTCCTACGCTTACGGCAAGAATCACACGGTGAGTTCTTGCTTGAGATTGTTAGCACTGTCTCCTTGGTGGAGGTGGGAGAGATTATCTTAATAAGCAAAGTATTTTTGTTGTGAAGTGAAACCACAAGAGATAACCCTTTAGGAACGCCAAAAAATAATGTGCCCAACATATAATATAAAAGTTAGATGTTGATCGATCGTTTTGATCTGAGCAATCGAGTGTCAAGCTTCTTCCTCCCTCCGTGGTTCTCTGCCGTATGACTACTCTCCATCTTTATATCCCTCTGATCCCTCTATCGACGCATGCTCGATCATCTCCTCGTATGGACCAAACGTCTTTGCATGCGCGCCACATGTCTGGTGTTCCGAAATGTGCGTCGCGCGCCTCTCCTCATGGTCACGCCCGTCCCCTCATGGTCACTCATGCCGTAGGTGATCTTCGAGGGCATCCCGGTGGACAACAGCGACATCAGCCGCAGGTTCCGGGGCTACATCGCCGTCGACGAGCTCAGCTTCGTCGACTCTGATCAGTGCAGCGTCTTCTGTAACTTTGAGGGAGGCACCTGTGGCTGGACGCAGGACTCCAATGATGACTTCGACTGGACGCTGGTAAATATTGTGTGTGCGAGTGCATGTGTGTGTGTGTATGAGCGTGTACCCAGATATGTGTCTTGGGGTCACGTTCCAACTATTAAAACGCAACCTTTTAGAGATTAGATGTTGAATGTAATGACTCATTTTTATGACTGATATCCCCCCTTACCCCTTCTAATCTCCCTCCCCCCCAATACTCGCCAGAGTCGAGGAAGTCTGAATCCGTCAACAGGTCCCCCACGAGACCGCTCCTCCTTTGCCAAGGATGAGATGATGGGAGGCTACGCCTTCATCGACTCCGGCTACCCCAGGAGGCCTGGTGACAGGGCCAGACTCATGAGCCAGGAGTTCCAGAGTACAAGTGAGTTCCCGAGTGTCGGGTGGTAAGCTTGCGAGTCCGCGAGTGTCGAGGTGGTAAGCTTCAATATCCTAAGTTCGCCGCCTCACCCTTATCATTTTACCCCCCAGACATCCTCATTAATGTGGCATCCATCAGTCTCAGGAGACTATGGAGTTGCGCTCTGGTGTCGGTCTGGAGTGGCCTCTCCAGGGCGCAAAGCCAGGGTAGGTTGATTCGGGGGAGAAGCTGTTACCCAGGCAGCAGGTCCCTCCTCTCCACGGCGCTGAAAGTCTCCAATGGAAAGGCATACACCAATACGATTGGTTCCAGCACCGTCGCAGGAACTGTGAGTTCCGGGGTTGACCTCGAAGTTGAAGAAGGGCACAGGGACCTCCAACCCCGGAGACCGCCGTGGTCGGGGCCGGAGAAGAACCACCCCATCAAGGGTATGAACGACCCCAGCCTCCTGAAGCAGTGCCTGGGGGGCCGCACGACCCTCGGGAGGTGGGCGTCCCGGTCCCGCACCTACGGGTTCCTGACAATGATCGTCACAGCCCTCTTTCACCCGAGGCCGGCCTCCTTCAAGACCAAGTAGAAGGAAGAGTGATAATTATTAAATATAATAATTATTATTATAATAATGTACGTAATTAATGTACGTGTTTACATTCTCATTACCATCCTCATCTTGCCTCGTATTCTCATTTCTTCCTCATTCTCGTTGCAATTTTATACTCGTTTACCTTTTGTGTGTGTACATCCCTTTCGTAATCTCCCATTTTCCCTTCCCACATACGTTTTGTAACCCCCTCTCCCTCCTCCTTGCAACCCGTTCTCGCACTTTCGTACAGTCAATATTGACTTATTAAATAAGTGCATATGTGACATACTAATTTATTGTGAATATTTTAGTTTACCTTGAAAAGCTTCATAGAAAACACCGACCTTACCTAACCTTCTTAGTATGTTAAGATAAGCATCTTATTGCTTCGTAATTACAATTATTACTTAACCTATACCTATAATAGGTTAAGTAATAATTGTAATTACGAAGCAATAAGATCCTTATCTTAACATACTAAGAAGGTTAGGTAAGGTTGGTGTTTTCTATGAAGCTTTTCAAGGTAAACTAAAATATTCACAATAAATTAGTATGTCACATATGCACGTATTTAATAAGTCAATATTGACTATACGAAAGTGCGAGAACGGGTTGCTGTAGATGAAATGGAGATTCGGTAGATATTAAGTATTTTGTGTAGAATATGGGTTGTAGATTATGTCGATAGGATGCCCAATATGTAATCAAGAATGTAGATTCTGTTGCGGACGGAATTAAGTAGATAAAATGAATTATGTATAAAATTTAATTATGTATAAAATGTATAGTAGACCATGCAGAAATGTAGATGTAGAGATGATGTGTGAGAGAGAGTAGCAAGAAGGGTGGTTTAGTTTACACACAGTTGATGAGTTAGGGGACGGTATATAACCGTTCCCGGGACAGGGAGACTTAGACGGGAGACATCTCGCGTCACGCAGGGTGCAGTTGCACCTCCACAGATCTCCAGTATCAGTTCTTGATACTGATAATGGCTCAGAAGGGCCACCACTTACGAGCTATTCATGCCCGTGTCACCTTTTGGGTGGCTTATATCTTTATCAATCAGGGAGACTTAAGTTACAGCCCCGCTCCTGTGCCAGGTAAGTCCACTACGGGCTCACCATATCCCGTGCTACTTGGAACATTTTGTTCCTAGAAGCTGAATCTTAAACAACAGCAGGGAGACTTATTACGGGCTATTCATGCCCATGCCACCTCTTAGGTGGCTTATATCTTTATCAATCGGGGAGACTTAGCACTGGACAAGACGAGGACAATAATACTCTCGCAATGTTTGGACTTTAAGGCCAATATCCACCTCTTTAGGGTTATTATTTTCACCACAACAGGTTATACTGACTAATCAGCAAATATACTGAATTCCGGGATATCGGATTATATTAAACTCTTAAGTGTATATACACCTAGAAGCTGTGTATAGTCTGTATACCGTCTGTATACCTCTTGAAGAGAAGAAAGATACTGAAGATTTTGTTGAAAATAAAGCTTTGTGATCGCAATGATAATTTTAAATATATTTGATGAAGGAAGTTGGCATAGCACGGACAATATATTGAAAAATACCAATAAAAATATTAGACAAAATAATACTATCGTAAGCTGAAATAGTAAGACTCTAGACTTACTAAGACTTGGTGAGCCGTAAATGTATTCCCGCTATAATTTTACCTGTGACTTGTTGCGAGAGTTGTGCTTGCTCCCCAAGCTTAGGATTAATCAAGCATTGTCTCAAGCCCTTAGGAAACCTGTACATCTTTGGTTAATTATTGTGGAATTTAATAAACGTTAACAAAGGTTCACAAGCCAAGGATATTATTCTGAACAGCCTCGTTGTGCTTCAGAGCTCGTTAACTGTTTAATAAATGCAAACAAAGCCTCCATGATTAAGGAAAGATGTAGGGGTTTCGTCAGTGGTGGCGTATATTATTGATTAACCTGCCAGAGGTTCAGGATTGGTTAGGTTGGTTGGCTGTCAGGAGACCGCAAGTACACGACTCCTCCCACGCCTTCCCTTCACCCACGTCTAGCCTACACCCATTACCACGCCTCCCATACACCCACTATTCATTCCATACTTTGATATACAGTGAACGTAATAAGTAAGAATCTTTATGTAGGAACGTGACACCCAATAGGCCTACGTAGATGTCAACTAGTAGGTCTAGGCAGGAACGTGACACCCAGTAGGCCTTCACATCATCAGTCACCCTCTGTCGGGGGCAGAGAAAAGGAAACTATCAGGGGAAAAGCGCCAAGCCATCACGACTATATAGCACTGGGAAGGGGTCAGGATAAGGATTTGGGATGGGACGGGGGGAAGGAATGGTGCCCAACCACTTGTGGACGGTCGGGGATTGAACGCCGACCTGCAGGAAGCGAGACCGTCGCTCTACCGTCCAGCCCAAGTGGTTGGACCGGGGGCAGCAAATGTTAAAACAAATTAAAATACATCCAAAGGAAAGGAAAGGAAAGATCAGAGGTAACAGAATAACAGGAAAAGATAAGCGGGATGATGAACATGTTCACATCTCCTATATCTGTAACAGGCGGTGAATGTTCACCAATTAGGCAAGAGTTAGGCCTGGCACCTCCCTAATAACACTGCGCATGTTCAGGACTCCCTACGACCATTTTTATTTAATTTTTTTTTTTTTTTAACTGCCACTTGGCTTTCCTTAGAGTATATTGAGGCTGGCTGCGCCACCACACTGTTGCTTCCACGTGCTGGTATGAGATGCAGTTGGCGTAGAGTCTGCTTGGTGCGTGCTTGAGCTGTCGTCTGCATGACACACTCTTGCCCCCTCACTGCTTCTTGTACTCGTAGTCACTCGTAACCTGAAACAATAAACCCATTTTATTTTTTATAAGTAGAACTTATTTTACATTTTAATAGAAACATTAAACCACTTAAACTGTATAATTAGCTCGATTACTTAAAAACCCCTTTACTAATTTTCGTATGAATGCTTCTTTTCAGGAACCTTAATGCATCGTTTTTTTTAATTATTCGTCCATTAGCTGCACGTTAAAGCTATATTGTTTTATGTTGAAGAATACTGATGTTCTGTGAATAATAATGATCGTTGTGGAGAGGGTGTTCAGACGAACACTAACTACTAATGTCTGTGGTTCAGATCGTGTTCGAGGGCGTGGTTGGCAACAACAACCTGGGCGATATTGCCATCGACGAGATCACCATCAAGCAGGGGGCGTGCCCCAGTGAGTATTGACCCCCCCCCACCCCTGCCCACCTCCCCCTTATTTTATGTAACAGTTCATTTCTCACGCTTTTATTATATTTATATATAGAATTTTTATTAGTTAACTATAACGACTTTTAAATCTAACCTATTCCACTTATTGACAGCTAATTACTTAAAAATTAATTCATTTTTATTAGTTATTCACTAATGCATTGTAATATTTTTATGATTTATGACATTAAAACCATGTTAATGATGCATAACTAATTATACGATTTGTTGCTGGTGTAGAGAAAAGGCCATTGGGTGAACTACACTCGAGAATTATTTATACTAGGCTGTAGTGTGTTTTCCACAGCCTTGAAAGATTCCCAGTTTAGGTTTCTAAACGATGTTCTAATGTTTGCTAGCGTGTCATATGCTGCCGATGTCACCCTATTACTGTGACCCTTAGGTGTTGGTTTGGGAATTATATCCTCTCAAATCTTTCTCTTTCCAATTCTTGTAGTTGCCTTCTACTTGTCTAGTAGATAACCCCTGGGTTCTATTCCGCCCTTTCCCATCTTCATTACCTTACACTTGTTGCGATTGAATTTCAACAACCATTTGTTTGTCTACTCCTGACGATTATCAAGATTCCTCTTGTAACATTCTTCAATCCTAATCAACTTTGTGCCATGTGGAAACACTTGTATGTACGTGCTCACTCCCTCGGCTTGGTCGTTGACATAAATAAGGACCAGCAGAGGGGGACCTAGGCCTTGTGGGACCCCACTTTTTGCATTGTTTCAGCTTGAAATCTGAGTGTAACTCTTAGCTTTCCGTCCTTCGGGTGCTGCTTTACCCAATGCAATGTATTCCCAGTTATGGCAGCCTGCCTCTCCACCTTGTACGCCAGCCTCTCATGGGGGAAAACTGTCAAATGTTCTTGACAATGTAGGAAAATACTGTATACCCAACCTTCCTTTTTCCTCTCCTATTTTAGTCACTATATCAGAACTCGAGTATTTGTCAGGCATGACTTCGCCTTTATAAATCCATGCTGACCTTTCGACACAAAACTGGTGCTCTCCAGGTGGGCCATCAATCTTCCCCCGAGTGCTGACTCCAGCGCTTAGCATAGAAGCCATCATAGCGTCATGATGCTCTTCTGTAATTGTCTCCTGTCTCTCCGTTTTATTTAAATACTGGAACTATTTTTTTCGGTAATTTTGGGGATTTCCATTGTCAGTGTGTAGAAATTTTTCATTGTGTCTGTCAGTGTAAATATATAATACAATATATCTTGCCCAAATAAAGCAACCTTCCACAATATCGTGACTGGTGCCACCTTGCAGGCGCACCACAGGTAGCGGCGGCGAAGAGTGGTGACTGTACCTTCGAGGTCGACGAGTGCGGGTGGTCGAACCCGGGTCCGCGGGAAAGACTGGATGAAATGGACTGGGTGAGAACCGTGGCAGCAGACAGTCGCGTCCCCATCAGAGACCACTCCATGGGCACCCAGCAAGGTGAGCATCCTCGGTCTTGTCTTTTACGAGGAACCGGACTGAGGTTTCACGAGTTGAAATATATTGTGCAAATATGTGCAAAGAGTCAGAATTCGGCAGAAAAATCTGGCTCAGGCGTCAGATTTGCGATATTTCCAGTTAGTCAGCTTGTGGGGTTGCATCCTGGGGAGGGTCAGTAATTCTACCCTGGATGGGACCTCGATTTAAGCCTAACATGTAATGTATATAATGGCTGCCTCTCCACCGACACAATGAATTGTTAATTAAATATGAGGCAACGGCTTCAACCTCCACAATGTAACGGGAAATATCAGGTGTGTTTTCAAAAAGTAATCGGCAAAAAAACCGTCCTCAGACCAAGTCCATTCCATCCAGCGGTCAACCTCAGTCGCATTCAACAATTTTAACATGCTGTTCATTTAAAATAGGAATTTTCTCAAATTAAAATTTTTACATATTAGCATAGTGTGCATATATAGGCATTGGTTAGGCTTAGGTTATGTTGGCTAGTATTTGTGTACGTGGGGTTGAAGCTTTTACAGCGTTGTGGTTCGAACAAAAGTCGTCAGTGAAGCACTTGTTCGATAAATGTTCGAACGTCATCAGTTGAGTAGTGTGTAGAGTTTTCCATTCATAAACGGGGTTTGGCGGGTGCATGGAATGGTCTTTGGCCTTAGTTTATGAGGACGGGCTGTTTCCAGTGGTGTGAGCTTTAACGCCTGTAGTCTTGCCTCATAGCTCATACCTCTCGACCCTGGAATTTGCTTAGTGGTATATCTCTGAACTTTCCCAAGTTTTGTTTTGTGTTCAGCAAGATAAGGACTCTGGGGTAGTACCGCATATTCCAGAACTGGTCTGAGATAAACGATATACAGGATTCTGAAAGACTTTGTACTGATTCCTAAAGGCGGTTCTTATATTAGCCAACCTTCCGTATGCAGCTGCCGGTGTTCTTTCGATGTGGGGGATGTCACACCGGAGCTACATATTCTTGTACTAGTTTAACATAATAAATAAATAATAATTAATAAATAAATGTTTATTCAGGTAAGGTACATACTACAAGAGATTTTTACAAAAATTGCTAGGTTTATAGATAGAGCTAGTACATACAATGCCTAAAGCCACTATTACGCAAAGCGTTTCGGGCAGAAACGTAGTAGTTACATAAGTAGTGTATAATGCTCTGGAAGCTTCATGGGGTGTTAGTGGCAGAATACTGTGTAGCTGTATTTTGTAATGCTCTGGAAGCTTCCTGGGGTGTTAGTGGCAGAATACTGTGTAGCTGTATTTTGTAATGAGGGTTACAAGAGCAAGCACACATACATTTTAGTTACCCATGTTATGAATAGTACATTGTTTTCTTTGTATGTGCACAACCTGTCCTCTTAAAAAGAACGTCGCTTTTGGCCGTTTGCCCGTATGGCCGAATATGTACGTAATTTGAAAATGAAAAAAAATTAATATAAATTTGGGATTTTTTTTTTCAACAACAGTAAGTTAAGGGTCCTCTGATAGGTTAGGTGGGCAGGAAATTCTCATAAAGTTTCAAAACGGTATGAAAAACGTTAATGGAAAGAATCCTTTTCAAACCTGGCCGAGTAAGCCGGACGTCTCAAACAGAAAACGGAACAGTACGTCACTTTTGTGAGTCGATTTCATTTCAAATTACGCCCAAATTTGGCCATAGCCAAAAGTGACGTTATTTTTAAGAGGACGGGTTGAAAACTGTAATGCATGGTTCTGAACGAGAGGCATTGTGCACTGAGCCCAACTATGTATCTCCCTCTGTTCATGTATCATACATGTACACATATAAATAAAATATTATGAGTGCACAATGCAATCGCATTAACGTGATGTATCAATGATAAAATCAGTAGCAGCCGTGAAGAGAACTCGAACCAGCACAGTTGGTACTCCCAAGCACCAGGAGTGCCTAAGACGTGGTCTAGGCCTCTAGGGCGTTTGCTTAGGAGTAAGTACCAAGTGAGCAGGTTCGAATCCTCCTCATTCTCGTACTGATTTTCTCATTATAGCACCAAATTATATAACCTTAGAAATGTTATGTAATTAGCTAATAAGTATACAGTATTTACCTTTTACGCTATTTTTGTATTTAAAAAGTTATTAAAGCTTGTGTTAAGACCTGCGTGTAGTGACTCTGGACGGTTGCCTACAGGTTACTACATGACGATGCCCCGAGGAACTGTCCAGAGAGGAGGAGACCGGGCCTGGCTCATCTCCAAGACCATGAAGGGCTCGACCCAACCCATGTGTATTATATTCTGGTGAGTCACTGTGCATTCTGGTGAAGCTGTGTGTGTGTGTGTTGGTCTCTGAAGCTGTGTGTATTGGTCTCTGAAGCTGTGTGTATTGGTCTCTGATGAAGCTGTGTGTGTGTTGGTCTCTGAAGCTGTGTGTGTGTGTTGGTCTCTGGTGAAGCTGTGTGTGTTGGTCTCTGGTGAAGCTGTGTATGTATTGGTCGCTGGAGCTGTGTGTGTGTTGGTCTCTGGTGAAGCTGTGTGTTGGTCTCTGGTGGAGCTGTGTGTATGTTGGTCTCTGGTGAAGCTGTGTGTATTGGGCTCCGGTGAGCAGTTAACCAATATAATCGGTACTATAACGATCAAACCCGTCCTCAAACCAAGTCCATTCCATCCAGCGGTCAACCCCCCTAGACGCATTTACCAATTTTAAGATGCTGTTCATTCAAAATAGTAATTTTCTCAAATATAAATTATTATAATAGCATATTGTGCATATATAGGCATAGGTTAGGTTAGGTGTTTAGGTTCTGTTGGCTATTCTTTGTTTTTGTAGTACGTGGGTGAAGCATTTACAGCGTTGTGGTTCGAACAAAATTCGTCAGTGAATCACTTGTTCCGGAAGTGTTCGAATGTCAGCAGTTGTGAATCGTGTGTAAACCGCTTTTCATTCATAAACAAGGGGTTTGACGGGTGCATGGAATGGACTTTGGCTTTTGCTTATGAGGACGGGCTGTTGAATGATTATAAGAACTAGTTTGAATCAGAATTTCTTGTTTTTTTTTTAACTAGTACTTGATCTCCAACGGAGTGTTACTGCTTCAGTTGAAAAGAATTAATTGTCCCTTTTCATGAATATATGTTTATATATATGACTCTCACAAAATTTTAATAAATGAGGTGCAACGTGTGTGTGTATATATATATATATATATATATATATATATGACGAACAATTTGAACCAAAATGCAGTACTTAGCGTATTCATCAAAGCTGATAACTTCATCGCTGTTTCCGTCTACTCATATTCTTGACAACTTTTCTCAAGTCCATACTAAGAGTTAAGTTCACCTAATATTACATAAGAAGAGACAGCTATCTCTGAAGCCCGGGCTTCCGCCCTACACTACGCGTATACAGTGGCCGTCCCTCGCTCCAGGTACTTCATGTACGAGCCGTTCATCGACCCGTCGGGGCCGTCCCTCGGGTCCCTGATGCTGCACATGAGGTACGAGAACAAGGACGGGGACATGGTGCTGCAGCCGGTGTGGGCCCTCAAGAACCACCAGGGACCCAGCTGGATGCACGGCCAGGCCAAGCTCCTCAACGACAATGACTTTGTGGTGAGTCGCCACGACACTACTGTGTACTATATAGTAGGCATCCATCAGTCTCAGGAGACTATGGAGTTGCGCTCTGGTTGTCGGTCTGGAGTGGCCTCTCCAGGGCGCAAAGCCAGGGTAGGTTGATTCGGGGGGAGAAGCTGTTACCCAGGCAGCAGGTCCTGGGTAACAGCTATGCACTATTATTACTATGGTAATATGTACTATATACTATATTATTATTCAACAAGTTCACAGGAGCCGTGATGAGGGTTCGAAACTATGCGTGGGTGTTCCCAGATGCCACGTTCTAGTAGACTGCGCCATGACATGATGATCTGAACATAGTCGCATAGGTTCGAACACTCATCACAGAGCATGTGGATTTGTTCATTGATATATCACAGTAATGTGATTTCTCTGTATATTATTACTAATATTTAAGGTGAAGATAAAGACGACATAAAGCATGTGTTATTAAACTAAACCTTCGGATGAAACCTACATCCTTTATCAAGGTCATGTCAAATATTCTTCTGAACAAAAACTCTAGGTCCATGTGTTTATATGTCTGGCGTAGCGCCTCGTGCGGCGTCCACCATTGGACGTAGCTATGATCCCTGCCCCCAGGTACTCCCAAGGGTTGCCAGTATGTATCCTTGGGGAGCGAATAACAACGTCCAAAGGTGGATGCCACACGAGGCGCTCTGTCAAACATATCTCTAATACAGATGTGTACAAATACAGAATCTGTAGTTCGAGCAGCACGGGACACACACACACACACACACACACACACACACACACACACACACACACACACACACACACACACACACAGATGCAAGATCACTCGTTACTCAATCTAACTAGTGCTAACTTGAGGGGACAAACGCCCTAAATAAGAAAATAGTAAACACGGAATATGCTGTCATATTCAGTCAAACTTACCATGTTTCCACACGTGTCATGTGTCGTGCATCCCTGCGTGTCGCTATGTATCGTGTTTCTTCAGATGGGGGTCACACATCCACGCATTGAGCATATAAGCAAGGGCATAACTCTTCTCACCTTTGGGTTATTACAGGCAATACACACAGAGGGAAGGGGTCATGTCTGTTGTTCGAGGTTTTCATATTTCCAGTGCTAGTAGACACTGTAGTTGTGGCCACCATTTACATAGTGCTTGACCATGGTTGTGTGGGGCAGGTGGCGTTCGAGGGAGTGTGGGGCAGCAGCCGGGGCACCGGGTTCATCGCCTTGGACGACATCACCATCTTCAGCGGTGACTGCTCCAGTGAGTACACGGGAGCCCCGACCTCGCTTCCTATACCACAGGGCTCCCCAACGGATTTTTAAAACCTTCCTCACCTTACCTAACACTGCCTAACCTTGTCATGGTTAGGCTGTGATTGATTCTTGAGGTTTGGGAACTCTCTGGTGATCAACTTTCTTAGTCCTGTGTTGCTATGCATTTTTTGTTATACATTACTGAACTGCCCTTTGTTACCGCAGTATTTTTCTACTGAAAATTTTTGATTGCAAATATTCTAATAGATTTTAGACTGTCTAGCAGTAAGATTCCACATGTAGGAGAAATGTCCCTGTAGTGAATATTATCCATGTGTTTGGCTTCCTGCTTCACCTGAAAGAGCGTCAGGGTCTTGCTAGTTGTGGCGCCAGAGAAATAATTTATGAATTGATTCAGTAGTCGACCTTACCTGCAGCCAAGCCACAGAAGGCGACGACGAGCGGCGGGGACTGCGACTTCCAGCGCGATGCCTGCCTCTGGAAGAACGTAACTACCGATGCAGACTTCCGCTGGACCACCGCCTCCATCTCCCGCCGACCTGCCAACCTTCCCGACCACACCTTCGGCGGCCCTAGTGAGTTCTTGTTTTCCCTGTAATATTTATTCTCTCACCTCTCACCGTTTCTCATGGCATAACCCTGGCCTTCGTAAGGGCCCAAGGACCTTGGGATACACCACACACACACACACAGATGAGTCAATAACTTGATCCAGTCCTGTATAATTTTATTGTCAACGACTCCATTGAGTCCTCCCTCAGCAACTTTGCGTCTCCTCTTGCAGTCGGATACGCATACTTCGACGTCTTCAACCAGAATGCTCGTCCTCAGAGTCTCATGCTCCTCTCCCCGCCCATGGACAAGACCTCGGACAATTCTCCCATCTGCTTCACCTTCTGGTACGCCTACTTCGGTGCCAGTGAGAGTACCAAGCTGAAGGTCACTAGGGAGTCCTACGACAAGGCCGCCGAAGAGGACAAGAGGACTGGTACTCCTGTTGAGGTAAGGTCCCTGGAAGTACTTTTGGGATCACTTGCTGGGGGTGCAACGGGCTGGAATGGTGATTCTTCAGGACGTGTCGGGGTAGTAGGTTGTGTTGTTACTATTGTGGGGTAGCATGGTTCATATCAGAGTACTATCGTTGGGGAGAAAGGATTGTAATTTGACTTCTCTGGTGTAGTAAGCCAGTGAAGAGACAAAATTGCACACGTTTGTGAATACATATGCACATGATACTGACAATATTGTTTCCTCTCTTTGTACATGATTTGTGAATAATGTACACTTTTTGTAATGTACACTTACACTGTTCATTGTTGAAATGTAAAGTAAATTTAGTGGCTTCAGTATGTGTTTAGCGTTAGAATACCTGATACAAACGCAGATGTTTACAGCTCTAAGGTGAGGCTGTTTTGGGTAAAGGTGATCAAGGAGAAAAGCTCCGTCAGTGTGACTATAGCACGTAAAGTATGAGGATAGAGTGAAGGAAATGTTTCTCTTAAGTGTGCAAACGGTTGTATGAATGAGCATATAAATGTGTACGTATTTTACGTTATTCTTGAAATATAATAAAAACACTTGGGAATCAGGCCTTAATTCAGGCACTAGAACTAGTTAGGTTATTCAGTGCCACGTTTCCTCCCTAACACAATACGCAGATTGTTACACATCCTGGTTCCCTAATTACTAGTGGGCGCCCAGCAATGGATAGTGCCTCCAAGTTGCCCATTCCTTCCAAAGGTTCCCCCGCTCGAGGATAGTAGAGATCGTTACTGCCTTCGCTACCTTGCGAGGCCTCTGCAACATCCTCATTCTCGCTTTTGCTCTACTTTGGCTGTTCCAGCGGTGGACCTTGTTCCCATTTCACCATCTTCATTTTTCTGTTCAGATGTCTTAGTTACAAACTTCCCTTTCAAGTTGTGTTAGTAATGTCTTTCCTCATGTCGTTCCATCCTCGCCTCTTTAGCGGGGCCCCACTTATGGAGTTTTGCATGACTTTGACCCTCGTGATAAAGGCTTCTATCACTTCTGTTATGAAACGCTTGAACATTTTTCTTCGCACTCTCATTCTTTTGCTCTCTTTACAAATCGGCTTCAGTCTGCCGACGGTATTGCACCCTGTTGTCTCTCCAGTCCAAACATTCATGTGCCACCTACCTCCGGAGGCTAACATCTTCACACCCGAATTCTATGCTATCTTTTATGCCCTGTGTTGACTGCTTTTCCGTCGTTATCACTGTTGTCATTGTGGTAGACTATTGCAGTGCCCTAATGGTTTTGGAGTCATTTATTCCTATACGTCCTGTGGTAGTTAAAATCAAATATTGGCTGTTTTTAATCTCTAGTAGATTTTAGTAGTTTGAGTTTTGCTGGGTTCCCAGCCATTTTGGCGTTTCCTTAAATGAGCGTGCAGACACTGCTGCTAAGGAGGCTATTATCCACACTTGTCCTATTTCCCTCAAAAACATTCCTTATTCTGATTTCTCCCAGCCATTCAATCTTCGTCCTGTTACCATTGGCAGGGTCATTGGTTTTCTTACTGGTAACAAGATGCGTGCTATTAAGGGTAGTGTCCCCTTGGCCTTTGTCCTACCACCGTAACCGGTGGTGGGAAACGGCTCTGGTGAGGTTGTATTGTACCATACACGTTTAACCTACAGGCACTTAATGGAGCGCTGCCCTGCTCCTTATTGTCCAAACTGAATTCTCTCTCTTACAATTGTGCATATCTTTGTTAAATGTCCGGACTTTCAGAACATGCGTGTCTTGTTTCCCGACCGTCCCTCACGGTCACTTCCCGCCAAACACACACCGAAATTACGACGTTGGTACAACATTCGGACTAGTTTAAACACCTCCTAACCAGTTATAACAACCAATATAGCAAGTTGTAACAACGTTCTAATACGTCATAAACACGTTAAGTCAAGATGTAACAACATTATTACAAGTTGTAACATGTGGAAAATAGAGACAGTTTTGGTTTGTGTTTCCAGGGTTGTCCCTCAATAGAATCCTTGGTAAATCTGATGACTTTAATATCACACGCCTTGTGCGCTTTTGTTCTCGTATTGACATCCTTAGTCATATTTAGCGTTTTTTTTTTAATCTCTAGCGACTTGGATTGTGCTACATAGTCTCCCCGGCTTGGTGCCTTCTTTTGATAATTACTTACTTCAAAGGATTCAAACACGGGTCGTTCCTGCTTGAGGGTAGCTGGCGAGGGTGCTCACGATGTAATTAGTATTGTCGGAGTAAATAACTATGCACTGCTGTTCTTACCACCTGTTCAGCTGTGGGTGCTGGAGGCGAAGACTGTTGGGACGCAGCGGCCGGAGTGGCAGTTTGGACAGGTGGAGGTCGACGCCTCGACCGACTACAGGGTGTCCGTGGTGGGCATGGCGACCAACGGCGGCTTTGCCATCGACGACATCAAGACCTACAAGGGGGCCTGCCGCAGTAAGTCATCTTACTAGTGGATAACTGGTATCTTTATGACTTAACTAGTTCATAATGCTCTCGCATGATTTATCGACATAAATAACTTAAGACGATTGTTGATGGACGATGTTCAAATAAGTTTTGGCACGTGTCCGAGAAGCGCAGAGCCGAAATATCCTAGAGCCATTAAATGTTCAATAAGTCAACATTTCGTACTCTTTTTTTCAGTTCGGCCAACAGCTGCCAACCCAACGACGCCGCCTGCTGCACCAAACCCACCCACGTAAACCCCTGACATGGTCTCCAGTGCAAGTGGAGAACTAGTATTGGGCCTTAGAAAAAAGGAAGCGAAAGGCCTTATTCAAAATCCTTATACATAAGAGTGCACATTTATAATTCTTTCAAATTTGAAATGCATTAATCATTTACACAAGACTAGCATTAAAAATAATACTGATGATAATTATTAATTATTTTAGAACGGCAACGTCCTCTGTGACATATTGCATTAATTAAAACGACAATTTAAAGATCAGTGACAATTTTTAATTCTAACAACATTAATATACACATTATATAACCAGGAGAGAGGTTGGACGGGCTGTTGTGTCACGTCACATGTCAAACTTGAACAACCTTCAAGCAGAGAGGGAGAAGGTGAATGAGAAGTGGACCGTCATTGATAAGAAAATCCTCGGATTAAAGAAGTGATAATGTAACTTCAAACCCATTTACTACCCTTCATGATGAGGGCTGCGTGCATGAAGGGATGAAGGACCCTCATAAGATGGTCTAATACGAAAGCTGCTTAGAGCCATGCCGACAATGAAAGTAAGAGTTTTAATACTTGGTGACTTTCATGAGGGATTAACATTGGCTGTTTCTTATCTCTAGTAAATTTAAATCCGTAGAGTTTTGCTGGGTAGATGCTCATAAATTGACATTTATGCTTATCCAATGTTTCCTTTGAAACGGTCATGCACTAAGCCTACTTAGTCTGTTTCAAATATTGATTGGATATGTGAGCGAGTTGAGCAGAGTTTAAGATAGCTGTTACGAATGGGCCAATTGGACCTTTGTTGTCCACAGTCCCCGTAACTAGCGCACCCGTCCACACTCCCCGTAACTAGCGCACCCGTCCACACTCCCCATAACTAGCGCACCCGTCCAGTCTCCGTAACTAGCGCACCCGTCCACTCTCCCCGTAACTAGCGCACCCGTCCACACTCCCCGTAACTAGCGCACCCGTCCACACTCCCCATAACTAGCGCACCCGTCCAGTCTCCGTAACTAGCGCACCCGTCCACTCTCCCCGTAACTAGCGCACCCGTCCACACTCCCCGTAACTAGCGCACCCGTCCACACTCCCCGTAACTAGCGCACCCGTCCACACTCCCCATAACTAGCGCACCCGTCCAGTCTCCGTAACTAGCGCACCCGTCCACTCTCCCCGTAACTAGCGCACCCGTCCACTCTCCCCATAACTAGCGCACCCGTCCACAGTCCCCGTAACTAGCGCACCCATCCACTCTCCCCGTAACTAGCGCACCCGTCCACAATCCCTATAACTAGCGCACCCGTCCACTCTCCCCATAACTAGCGCACCCGTCCACAGTCCCTGTAACTAGCGCACCCGTCCACACTCCCCGTAACTAGCGCACCCGTCCACTCTCCCCATAACTAGCGCACCCGTCCACTCTCCCCATAACTAGCGCACCCGTCCACAATCCCCGTAACTAGCGCACCCGTCCACACTCCCCGTAACTAGCGCACCCGTCCACACTTCCCGTAACTAGCGCACCCGTCCACACTCCCCATAACTAGCGCACCCATCCACACTCCCCGTAACTAGCGCACCCGTCCACACTCCCCGCAACTAGCGCACCCGTCCACTCTCCCCATAATTAGCGTACCCGTCCACACTCCCCATAACTAGCGCACCCGTCCACACTCCCCGTAACTAGCGCACCCGTCCACACTCCCCATAACTAGCGCACCCGTCCAGTCTCCGTAACTAGCGCACCCGTCCACTCTCCCCGTAACTAGCGCACCCGTCCACTCTCCCCGTAACTAGCGCACCCGTCCACTCTCCCCACACTAGCGCACCCGTCCACAGTCCCCGTAACTAGCGCACCCATCCACTCTCCCCGTAACTAGCGCACCCGTCCACACTCCCCGTAACTAGCGCACCCGTCCACTCTCCCCGTAACTAGCGCACCCGTCCACTCTCCCCATAACTAGCGCACCCGTCCACACTCCCCGTAACTAGCGCACCCGTCCACTCTCCCCATAACTAGCGCACCCGTCCACACGCCCCGTAACTAGCGCACCCGTCCACTCTCCCCGTAACGAGCGCAGCCCGTCCACTCTCCCCATAACTAGCGCACCCGTCCACACTCCCCGTAACTAGCGCAGCCGTCCACTCTCCCCATAACTAGCGCACCCGTCCACACTCCCCGTAACTAGCGCACCCGTCCACAGTCCCCGTAACTAGCGCACCCGTCCACACTCCCCATAACTAGCGCACCCGTCCAGTCTCCGTAACTAGCGCACCCGTCCACTCTCCCCGTAACTAGCGCACCCGTCCACTCTCCCCATAACTAGCGCACCCGTCCACAGTCCCCGTAACTAGCGCACCCATCCACTCTCCCCGTAACTAGCGCACCCGTCCACAATCCCTATAACTAGCGCACCCGTCCACTCTCCCCATAACTAGCGCACCCGTCCACAGTCCCCGTAACTAGCGCACCTGTCCACAGTCCCCGTAACTAGCGCACCCGTCCACACTCCCCGTAACTAGCGCACCCGTCCACTCTCCCCATAACTAGCGCACCCGTCCACTCTCCCCATAACTAGCGCACCCGTCCACACTCCCCGTAACTAGCGCACCCGTCCACACTCCCCGTAACTAGCGCACCCGTCCACACTCCCCGTAACTAGCGCACCCGTCCACTCTCCCCATAACTAGCGCACCCGTCCACACTCCCCGTAACTAGCGCACCCGTCCACACTCCCCACAACTAGCGCACCCGTCCACACTCCCCATAACTAGCGCACCCGTCCACAGTCCCCGTAACTAGCGCACCCGTCCACTCTCCCCATAACTAGCGCACCCGTCCACTCTCCCCGTAACTAGCGCACCCGTCCACACACCCCGTAACTAGCGCACCCGTCCACTCTTCCCATAACTAGCGCACCCGTCCACACTCCCCGTAACTAGCGCAGCCGTCCACTCTCCCCATAACTAGCGCACCCGTCCACACTCCCCGTAACTAGCGCACCCGTCCACTCTCCCCGTAACTAGCGCAGCCGTCCACTCTCCCCATAACTAGCGCACCCGTCCACACTCCCCGTAACTAGCGCAGCCGTCCACTCTCCCCATAACTAGCGCACCCGTCCACACTCCCCGTAACTAGCGCACCCGTCCACAGTCCCCGTAACTAGCGCACCCGTCCACACTCCCCATAACTAGCGCACCCGTCCAGTCTCCGTAACTAGCGCACCCGTCCACTCTCCCCGTAACTAGCGCACCCGTCCACTCTCCCCATAACTAGCGCACCCGTCCACAGTCCCCGTAACTAGCGCACCCATCCACTCTCCCCGTAACTAGCGCACCCGTCCACACTCCCCGTAACTAGCGCACCCGTCCACTCTCCCCATAACTAGCGCACCCGTCCACAGTCCCCGTAACTAGCGCACCCGTCCACAGTCCCCGTAACTAGCGCACCCGTCCACACTCCCCGTAACTAGCGCACCCGTCCACTCTCCCCATAACTAGCGCACCCGTCCACTCTCCCCGTAACTAGCGCACCCGTCCACACTCCCCGTAACTAGCGCACCCGTCCACACTCCCCGTAACTAGCGCACCCGTCCACACTCCCCGTAACTAGCGCACCCGTCCACTCTCCCCATAACTAGCGCACCCGTCCACACTCCCCGTAACTAGCGCACCCGTCCACACTCCCCACAACTAGCGCACCCGTCCACACTCCCCATAACTAGCGCACCCGTCCACAGTCCCCGTAACTAGCGCACCCGTCCACTCTCCCCATAACTAGCGCACCCGTCCACACACCCCGTAACTAGCGCACCCGTCCACACACCCCGTAACTAGCGCACCCGTCCACTCTTCCCATAACTAGCGCACCCGTCCACACTCCCCGTAACTAGCGCACCCGTCCACTCTCCCCATAACTAGCGCACCCGTCCACACTCCCCGTAACTAGCGCACCCGTCCACTCTCCCCGTAACTATCCCCATAACTAGCGCACCCGTCCACACTCCCCGTAACTAGCGCACCCGTCCACAGTCCCCGTAACTAGCGCACCCGTCCACACTCCCCGTAACTAGCGCACCCGTCCACTCTCCCCATAACTAGCGCACCCGTCCACTCTCCCCATAACTAGCGCACCCGTCCACACTCCCCGTAACTAGCGCACCCGTCCACACTCCCCGTAACTAGCGCACCCGTCCACACTCCCCGTAACTAGCGCACCCGTCCACTCTCCCCATAACTAGCGCACCCGTCCACACTCCCCGTAACTAGCGCACCCGTCCACACTCCCCGCAACTAGCGCACCCGTCCACACTCCCCATAACTAGCGCACCCGTCCACAGTCCCCGTAACTAGCGCACCCGTCCACTCTCCCCATAACTAGCGCACCCGTCCACACACCCCGTAACTAGCGCACCCGTCCACACACCCCGTAACTAGCGCACCCGTCCACTCTCCCCCATAACTAGCGCACCCGTCCACACTTCCCATAACTAGCGCACCCGTCCACTCTCCCCATAACTAGCGCACCCGTCCACTCTCCCCATAACTAGCGCACCCGTCCACACTCTCCCCATAACTAGCGTACCCGTCCACAGTCCTCAGACGTACTGATGCTATGCAGTTAAAAATCCTGGATGTTGACATTACTATATTTACACATTTTAGCCAATAGTGAACTTATTGAACTACACAATAATATTCAGGATTGATTTTGTAAAAAAAAAACAACTAAACTTGATAAGATAATTAGCTGCGGGGATTGCTGCCAATTTTCACTGGGAACAAATTATGAAAAGTTGCGTTTGTGAACGTATTTTATGATTAATGAACATATTTTATGATTAATGAACATATTTTATGATTAACCCTATTTTCGAAGGGTGTCTATAGGGAAATATTAACACAATCATAGATAGAACTGAGCCAACAGTTGTAACCAAATGCTATACGTAGCCAGCGATCCAAACTTCCTAAAGAGGTAATGGTGAACAGGAAATCCCGAGGCGTATAATGATTATGATAAAATAGTGTCACTTATAAACGTGAATAAAATAAACAAACTCGGCAATTTACAAAATGGAAAAAGATAATAACAAAAATAACTAGCCAGAGTTTGCAGGCGATGAGTCACAATAACGTGGCTGACGTATGTTGACCAGACCACACACTAGAAGGTGAAGGGACGACGGACGTTTCGGTCCATCCTGGACCATTCTCAAGTCGATTGTCAGAGCCAGAGTTTGACTCGTTAAGATAAA